GTTGATCTGATACCTAGTAGCTCTTGGTAAGTGTCCACCTCCCTTCCAGGCCTTTCCATTCTACTATAAGTAGACTAGCATTTACCCAATTTTCCTGTGCCCTTTCAATGGGTAGCTTTTCAGAATGGTAGAAAATAGTGAGGAATATGGGAGAAAGAATGACATGAAAGCTGAAAGATAGCCATTGATATTTTTATATATGTAAAATAGTATTGTATTCCATGACAATCTCACCCTAAAAATATGTAGCCTATGCTAGTTATCTTTAGGTGGTGTAGCTCATGATAAAAGTAAAATGGAAAATAATTATGCTGTCATATTATGTTCTTATATTATTATAAAGACAACTATATTAACTAAATTAACATATAAATCTGTTCAAATGTGCATAATACAAGGAATGCATGATCAGTCTAATTCAAAATGTATAGAATTAATTACATTTTCCCTCTATTTTCCAAATAGTTTATTTTCAAATAGTTTACTTGGTATTTTATTTGTAAATTACAGAGCTGTATCAGACAACTCTGAAAATTCAATGTAACTTACGTAACATTTCAATTTAAGGTCAATTATAATAATTTATGCCTTGAGCAAATAATTCGGTATTCATGCAGTCTTCAAATACAAATGCAAATTTTCCAGAAAATAATTAAATATATGAGCTGAGAGAAAGGAAGGAGGGTAGTAACTTTTCATTGCTACATTTACTTGAGGTTGAAATTTTAAAATTTAAGATTATAATAAACAGAACTGTTAATGACTGGATGATGGTGGTGACAAAGGCAAGTATACATACATGGTCATGAAATGCTTCTGTCAAGGCACTTTTAAGAAATAATAGTGGAATAAAAGGAAACAGGCAAGATGGAAACATCTTGACTTAGAAGATGGGAGAGGAAAGTTAGTTCCACATTTGGATATTTTCCATGTTTGGATGATTCTAGCTTCTATTCTGGTACAAATGACCAAGGCAGAAGAAAACTCATACTGAAATTTGAGGGCAATGTAATATTTTGTGATCTAAGTATGTAGTTATTCTTAAAGACAGAAATGAAGTCAGCAGTGTATAGGAGGATGCTGTGCCTCTCATAATTAGGAAATGAGAGAAACAAGAAGTTCTTGAAGAAAATAGAGAACGGCCTTTGAGATAGTGGAGAACCAGGATAATGTGCTACTATGAAAACCTAGGAAGAAAGGGTTCCATGGATTTGTGGGAAATAGTCACAAATGCACTAAACTGCAAAAGGAGAAAAGCAATCCAAAAAAATGTCAATTTCTTAGAAAATGAATTTCTAAAGTAGCTATCAATCATTTATATGCGTTGCAATCTTTGTTATTTTTTAAGAAAAGCAAAATTAATTTTGTATAATAAATTTAGCCTGCCTTCTTATTCTTCATATTTTATTTCAAATAACTCCAAATATAAAATCTTAAATAGGATAATCCATAACCCATATTATAGCATGACCTATGATAGTCTATGATTATCCATTTTTTAAAATTGAAGTATAGTTTACAATGTTGTGTCAATTTCCGGTGAAAAGCATAATAGTTCAGTCATACATATGCATACCTATATTCCTTTTCATATTCTTTTTCATTATAGGTTACTACAAGATATTGAATATATAGCACAGGGAACTATATTCAATATCTTATATGATTATTCCTTTTTAAACACTTTTTAAAGAAATTACTAGCTTAATTAGCAAAACATTTCCAACAAAGGAAAAACATCTAGGTAAGGGGAAAAGGGAGAGAACAATTTACAACATGTTATGTTTTCATCTCCTGTTTTCTGAAACACTGCAAAGTACATTAATTGCATTTTTTCCCATTAACTATATTCTTGCAAATGAAATCTATTATCAAGATTTATGCAGTCTCCACTATTGCATATGAGTAACCAGTAGTTTTTAGAGTACAGAAAATGATTAAATGTGAATAAATAGTTAAAATTTTGGCACTATCTCACAAGATTTTTTAATCTAATTAAAGAAGTTGCTGTCAGATTTTGGAAAAAGTCCCTGTATTTAACAGCTGGGAAAACGGAGCCTCCCACAGCAGAAGCATGAAATTTAATTGCCAAGGATAAAATGCCTATTTTAATTTTATCTACTATGTCAATTATTAATGGCACAGTATAATACTAAATGAATTTCTTCTCCCCCTACCCCTGCCTTTAGCTTGGATATAGATATGAATCACTTATAAACTAGTGAAGGGACAGCTAGAATTCTCATTTTAGTAGTTGTAAGCTTTTTCCCAAATCATAACCTCCATCTACCATATAGTTACCAGTTAATATGCTAGCAAATAGCTGTATAATTATGTTCACAACCTCAGTCTAATTGCAGAATTGACAGCCATAAATAGCAAAGAATTTCCCTACATGGCGTATTTCCAAAAGAATTTCAGTTGTGGCAGTACACTGTCATTCTTTCAGTGACTAAAGTAAAAATCAAGGACTGATTTACTTTTCAAAGTTAAAAAGTAGTATTTAATTGAAATATGATCTGAAAAATCCACTCATTTGAATATTGATTGAGTCTGCTCTGTTTCATGAACTGTTATATAGTCTTTAAAGATAAAGCAGTGGAAAGATAAAAATGTTCAGAAACTGTCTCCAAGAAGGCTGACATCTAGTGCATCCTCTACCTGCAGCTCTACTCAGAGAAAGATGGCCACTTGAGTGCAAATTTGAGCCCAAATGTTACTTCTTAGGATTTTTTTTTTCAGCTGGGCCTAAGAATTCTGTTGATATAAGACAGATCAACAAGAGGAAAAAACCTACAACTTTAGTATGTCTTACTTGACAGGTGAACCCACATACAGAATAAAGACCCAAAGAAACAGCAAAACCTGCTTGCTTTTGTATTAGGTTTAATTAAAAAGTCAGTTGTAGAAAAGTGAGTAATCTAATGAAGAATCTAAGGATGTTAACGAATTATTTTAACAAAGTCTGTTTGTATAGAATTCTCTGGGTCTCAAGGTCCTTGATAAGAATGTTACTTTCCTTCTGATATATGGAAGACATCTTCCATGGGGGTCTTATCTCCTGCTTCCAGGAAGTGAAAGAGGAAGGTCAGAGCACTCTTTTTGCACCTGAGGGGTTTTTTCTTCAAGTGTCTTTAGCTCACAATAATTTTCATGTCAAAAAGGCATATTTTAGGGTGACATTCTGATTTCCTTCAAGTTCCAGCTATCATAACTTTGTCCATCTAACAGAAAGTAGGAGGGAGAAAATAAAAAAAATCTGTGCCTTCTTTTTCAAGGAATTTTTAAAAAGTTGTAAAAACATATCTCCTTACAGCCATTTGGACAATATTTAGTCACAAGTCTTCAACCTGTGCATGGATGTTGGAAAGTAGTGTCTTTGTTCTAGGCAACCCAAGCCAAGATAAAATCCTGGGTTACTCTATCAAAGAATAAAGGTTCAGTGGATACTGGGACCTTGTTATCTAACGTAAACTGCATTTGAGGACTGTGTGACCCAAGAGAAAACAACATGGCAGAATAAAAGAATGAGGAAGAGAAGGGCTATTGCTTCATTAGCAAGTCTTTTGCTCTTCTTGACATTTGATTTGATATACAGGATGATATTTAATATCCTTAGAAAACACTGACATTAAGTGTGCTTTCCTGAGAATCTATTCAACTCAGTACCAAGCCCACAGTACCTAGAGGAGTCTTTCTCCAAGTCTGCAGATCTCTGGTGGTAAAAGAATCGCCTGAGTTGCCTGATAAAAAAACTTACCTACTTTATCCCCAACTATGCAATTACTAAATGAGAATCTTTCAGGACAGGGCAAGCTCTCAAGATGACTCTTATACATGATTATTTAAAGAACACAAGAACTAGGGGAATCTCTGGCAAGCTGAGCATGAAAAGCTTGGATTCCAGAATCTTGTTTATTATATTCCCAAAACAAATCACTCAGTTTCATTCACGCCTTGTTCTGGTTTTATAAATCTGTTCTATCCAGAAAAGAAGGATAAAAGTATTCATGGTATTCACCTGTATCAATTTGTCTATCTTGTTCTAAGGGAAAACATTCAATAATTTCAGTTTCCTGAACTACTGAAAGATGCTTACTTTTTAGAATAAGAGTATGTTAAGGATACATGTGAAATGGAAGTGGCTAGCGCGTGATACAGAACTTAAATTTATCAGTTTTCCATGCACCTTCACTAAAATCTAGGGTCTGAGTAATTCTAACATACATCTCATCTCTCACGGTGAGTTTACAATAGAAATTGAGCAATATAAAAGGTTACACCTAACAGGTTTCTAGAATACCAGATAATTAGATTGTTAGCTATCAGCCCCTTCACCTCCATATTTGTACAGCTTAGAAAGGTGCCATTTCAAGAAACCTAGGTGAGACCATTTGTCTTGAAATGCTGCACCGCTGGAGTCCGACTGCCTTTTAAGATAAGGCCAGACTGGACACCTTGAAGCTGCTGGTGCTGGCAACATGAACAGTCTAATTGAGTGCTTTTGTTCCTTTTCCCCATGAAACAGGTGAGGCTTTGTTCATTTCTGCATGCACATAAAGCCATTTAGGCTCATTTACAGCAACTGTTAGAGACAGGTACTCGTGAAATACTGTTGATAATATTTAAATATAATTTATCTGTTGCCACAGATGACCACAAGCCTGGTGAAACCCTTTTATTCATTACATTATGATTTAGCTTTTTATTCACATTCTTTCCTCTAGCTAGACTAGATTTCTTGACAGCTGTTTCAAATTCCATTTAGGGAATAACACCAAGGGGCATGACCAAGAAGAATGAGACTTCCCATTAGTACTTTGAAGAGCCTGTATTTGGATGTGGCTTTGAATGAAAGAACTTCTTTCCAGAAAGTGACTAAGTCATGGGGTATATTTATAGTGAAACAATATTATCAAGTTCTTGAGAAAAGTAAAACATAATAATTAAAAATGTTAAAACCATTACTAAATATAACTTGATTTTTTTTTTCTTTCAAGGGAATAATGGTCTCCTCTGTGCAGGGAATGAAGACGTCACCTTTTTTTTTTCCTATACATCTGTTCCCACACCTTAGATCTGGATGTGAAGCATAAATGAGAATTCGACAGAAAAATATATTTCTAACACCACCGGCATACTAGCTAAATGTTAACATTTGTCGAGGACAGAGTCAGAGACCAACAGTATCATCAGATGAAACACTGAATAAACAACTTCAGCTGCACCATGTTGTGTCTCCCACTGTGTGTTACTCACAAGACCTATGTCAAAAAAACGATAGCTCTTTGGTTCTCCTCCCTGAATCCAGCATGTTCTAAGGGCACGTACCTCATTTTCTTTCTCGTCTAGACATATGCCTATCACAAATATGTGAGAATACAGGATACTCAGAAAAGAAGGAAAATCTGACTACATTACACAGGAAAAAAATTAAATTTTTACTAAAGATGTGCATAATTTGCTTTCCATGGTGTATGTTCTGAAAGGATTTAACTATCATATGTCATGCTTAAAGTTTTTTAAATGTAGACATGACATTTACTAATGCTTAAACAAAGTTATAAATAAATTAATTTTTCAGTAAATGTTTACTAATCCAGAGATCATATGAAGTATCCTTACCTCATTACAAAAGGATGCCTACATAGGGAACAATGATAGGCAAACAGGAGATGCAGAGATGGGAGATCCTAAGCCATCCTTTGAAAACTAGCTTTGCTAATTTAAGTATCAGTTGATCACTGCAGAGATCCTATTAGCTCCCTCAGTAACCTGAACAATCAATAAATTGCTTAAGGGTCCCTAAAGCAAAAGGAAATCAGCAAAATCCCGCAAAGAACATCCGTAAGAGACACTGTTTAAATACTATACACAAAAATCTGTCTCATTTATTTTGTACAGAAGTGTTTCCTTTGTTAACAAACAGTAGGCCCCCACAGAGCCACTTGTACTAAGCCCCACGTCAGCAAGTCAGAACCTAATTTAACTGCAGTTTCAGGCTATCCCAGGAATGCGACCTTTAACTAGTCAATTTGGAAATATCTGGTCATCACTAGTGAAATAATTCATTGGGTAGACCCCATGTGTACCCCACAGGAAGGTGACCTTTGCCTGAAACAAGATGCTCCTTGTGAGAAACTCCCTTTCCCAACCCTCTTCTGCCTATAAAAGCCTTCTATTTGTACAGCTCCTTGGAGCTCCTTTCTTTCTGCTAGATGGGATGCTGCTTAATTAATGAATCATTGAATAAAGCCAGTTAGATCTTTACATTTATTCAGCTGAATTCTGTTTCTTTCCCACCTCCAAGTACCAATATTTGTGGCACTTCTGATTATCATTGCTATATAAGTGTCTTTCTCTTCTAAATAGACTAAATTTTCTTGAGAATAAAGATCCAACTGGATCATTTTTTTCCATTCCTCAACTATTCCTATTACATAGTGAATATAAGAGAAGCTTAAAACATTTTCTAGAATTAAATTCTTTAAGATAATTCAAGCCCTGAAGTAATGAATGTATTTTTCAGAAGTTTAGCTTCTTATATGTAAATAACTGTCAGATTTCATTCATAGATTTAATTATTTATGTTTTGAGTAATAATAAAAGGTTAATCCTTTTATCAGCACAACTTGTAGAATACTATATAATTATTCAATGAACATTTTTCAATTTCAAAATAAATCTGTTCAGAGTATACAAATATGTCCAGATGTATACTTATAAGCCTAAATTCCAGATTTTTAATGGGGATATAATAAATAAACAAATGTACATTTCCTACAGGAATAATTTTTTGGTTGCAAGTATAACTATAATAACTTTACCATTATACATCAGCTGCTATGTGTCAGGCATACTTCTAAGCCCTTTATCAATATCATAATTCATGTTAGGTCATAGACACCTCTCTGGCTTACCCTCTTGAGGCTATCTTTCAAACTAGGAAGGAATAGATGTGAGTTTCTAAGTTTTAGAACAGAATTATTTACTCTGTCACCAGAACATCTGGTATCTAAATGGATTATTTTAAATAAACAACCAAAACATTTGCATTTCAGACATGCATCAAAGGATCTAACTGTGAATTATTCATAATTAAGACTTTCATGAACCTCACTTAAGACATTGAAAGAATCTGTAACTAATTATCTGGTTATTTATTCTTGATATTTCCCAATCCATAGACCTAGAACAAGTTAGTATCTCTTAGAGGCTTAGCTATATCCAAGATCCTAAAACAAATCCTTTTCCTAATCCTGGGAGATTCAATTTGTTCTACTTCAGATGACTGACATTTTAGCATTTGGAACTGGTGTTCTAATTTCTGTTACTAAATTTAAGTTTTGTAAGAACAACAACAAAAAGCATCTTAGTTCTCTGTAGAAATACTTTTACTCAGTTGAATTAATATTACATTTTCAGTATCTACAAGTTTCCATTAAGGAAAATATTTAATTGTTTTGTCAAACATAATGGAAAACTTTTCCTATTATCCCCTCTGCCCTTTATATAAGTATGCCCTGTGTGTCCCTTATATAAGAATGACATAGAACATTTTATCAGTATTCAGGGCTGAATTGTGTGTTGCATTTTACTGGATAATATAAACTACATATAATAAAGTGTTTAGTCCCCCCATAGCAAATAATTTATGCCTCCTTATTCACTGATTGTAGAAACAGTAGTTACT